ATGGCAGCCCTTGACCTTGCAGATCTGGTGGTGGCACTGGTCAGTGGCCAAGATGATTTAGGGAGAAGAGTGACACTATGGAAATCTGTTTTATGAGAGTGGAGGACCACTTGGGAGTGTTCTAGGCAGGTACAACATTTTAGAAGCTGCTGAGTTGGTGGCATGAAGGCTCCACAAGCCTGAATTAAGACAGTCTGATGGAGAGAAAGGTGAGGTGACATGCTACGCCACTGCCAGCGTGTGAGGGGCCACAGAGCAAATAACAGCCTCTCTGAGGAGACACTGGGCTGAGACCTGAAGGATAAGGAGAGGCCAGGTGAGGCAAAGACCAGTGGACAGAAGCACCCAGAGCCAGCCAGAGAAGTGAGGACAAAGTCCTGCAGCAAAACTGTGCCTGGCAGGCTGGAGATAAAACGAGGAGGCAGGTGCACCCGCTAGCACGGGAGTCAGCAGGGCCGGGTCCGGGGCACAGACAGGGTGAGCTGTCCCACCACATCACCTTGGGGTTTTATCAGAGGAGTAACTCTGTGCAGACATCTCTGGTAGCAAAAGTTTGTTTTTTCATGGTCACTTCTGCTTGAATATGGAAGGGTGTGTGATCAGCATCCTTAGGAGGAAAGAGAGCAGCAGTTAAAGGACAGTAGCCATGGGGTGACATTCCATAGAATGATTAAAAAAAAAGTGCCTGTGAATCCTTGCGATTTGCACACCAGAGTCTGCCTCTAGTTACGTGTTGTGCCCGTTTCACCCCCGTGTTTGATAACCTTCATATAGTATTTTTGAATGATGATACCACATGGGGAAGGTGGATGAAGGGTTCATACACTGGGTCACAGTGTATCCTTTTGCAATTTCTTGTTTATTTGAAAATCAGTTAAAACTTCATCCAACTTCCTGAAAGTTTTAATGTCAGCAAAACGTGGAAAACTGGGAAAGATCCCCAGGAGCCCTCAGCCAAGAGATCACCAAGTCCCTTTGGCTGCAGTCCCTGCTCTCCTGAGAACTCTGCTCTGCGGCAGCTCCCCACCCTCCCTCTGCTCCTGGGAGCCTGTTCATCCCTCCAGGCGTAAGGGGGTCCCAGGGATTCTCCCACCGGCAGGAGGCTCTCCCGGAGGCCACCTCCCCTCTGAGCACACCAACCCCTTACTTTTGAAGGCGATGCGCCGCGTGGTTGACCAGCACGTCCAGGCCCCCGTACTCCTTGCGCAGGAAGTCACGCAGGGCGCGGATGCTCTGCAGGTCGTCGATGTCCAGCTGGTGGAAGCGCGGGCTCAGGCCCTCGGCCTGCAGCTGCTCACAGCCGCCTGGCCCGCCGCCCCGTCCCGCGCCGTGAGCACCACGTCCCCAGAGAACTGGCGGCACAGGTCGCGCGCGATGGCGGCAAGCCAATGCCCTTGTTGCGGCCGCGCGGTCACCAGCGGCCACGCGGCTGCAGGACGACATGGCTAGTGGGGCGCGCGGGGCACTTGCGTGGAGAGGGATCAAGCCGAGTGTCGGAGCAGCCCGGCGCGTGAGGAGCGTGTGCGACTGTGGGGGGCGACGGTGCCAGGTGCGCTTAAGTAGGAAAAGCACCAGGAACCCTGGGCTGGCGCACAGGTGCAGGACCGCCCGTTAGGCGGGGCTTGTGGGACCTCCCTGAACCTCCCTGGATCAGAGGATGCCCAACAGAGCCCTGTGTCAGGGCTTTGCAAAACCAAAGGCAGAAGACCATAGCTAATCAGTGCCCCTGGCTGCTGGCCTGACAGTGATAAAGCATTTCTGTTGCCCACGTGCCTGTATCTGAACTCACCCCTAATCCCTGGTTCTCTGGTTTCTAAGGGTTTTTCTTTGTGTTTCCTGCAACCATTCAACCATGCATAGTTGTGCTTGAAGAAATGTGGCATTTGTATGGACTTTTGTTTGTTTCTGATGTGCTAAAAAAATATGGCTGGAACTAAAGTCTTTGGAACTAGAGTTGTGGAAACAATAAGGAAGGAAATGACAGGCTGATTTCTCCCCTTAGTACATGAAAGCAAAGCTGCCAGCTAGTCCTTGGCCAGGTTTTCAAAAACGTGGGAAACATTCATTAACTCATCAAGGGTTACCTCTCTGGACACTTGTGGGCCATCGTCTTATCTGTATCTGGATCCTACCGTGTACAGGTGACAGAGGGCTTCCCCGACCTATTTTACATTCAAAATACACATGAGGATGTATCCTCTATCCCCATTTGACAATGAAGAAATGGATCCAGCCTCAGAAATTTTTAAATTAGTTCAGTGATAGGAAATGAGTTTTCTTCCTTACTATTTAGAACAAGAGAGGAGAGGACTATAAGGTCAAGTTTCATTTCTGAGTTGTCTCTAGGTGTCCAGTAGCCACAGTGGCCATTTAAATGCAAATTTAAATCAATCAAAATTAATGCATTTAAAGTTTCAGTTCTTTAGTTCCACCAGGCATCTTTCAGTGCTGTCACTGTTCACATGTGTTAGTGGTCACGGTATTGGGCAGTGCAGATACAGGATATTTCCATCATTGCAGGAAGTCCTCTTGGGCACCATGAGTTTAAATAGAATCCAATTATGTTGCAATGTCAAGGTAGGTTTCCAATCAGTTGCTTTAAAAAGTTAATGTCAGAGAAAGTACTTTGCTTATTTTAACTGTAATTTTTATTGAGATAATTGTGGATTCACATGCAGTTAGTTATAAGAAATAGTAGAGATTCCTTCCTTACACTTCACCCCATTTCCCTGAATGGTAATATTTTGCAAAACTATATTATAATAGTGCAAATAGGATACTGACAACAAAAAAATCCACGAATAAAATTCAAATTTTATCATTTATTTTTGACTTCTTTGTGTATTTGTTCTATAAAATTTTATTGCCCATACAGCTTTGTGTATCCACCACTACAGTCAAGATAAGGGCATTTCCATCATCACAAGGGTCCCTCCTGCTGCTCTTTCATTAGCATACATACCTGTCTCTTGCTGCCTAACCCAACTCCATCTCCTGGCAACCACTAACATATTCCCCATTTCTACAAATTTGTTGTTTCAAAAATGTTGCACAGATGGAGTCACATAGTATATAACACTTTATTCCCCCATTCGGGATAATAAAGACCTCCAAGTTGGATTTTCTTCTTTATCCCAGTGTGTTTTGGTGTGTAACTCGTTGGCCTCTCTCTACATCACTAGCTACTTTCTTCCATAGCTGGGTTGAGCCAGTGTTAGAAGGAGGTGGGATGGATTAAACTAAGTGAGAGAGCCACTCATCCACAGGTGTATAGGGAACTTTGGACAGGGTGAGGTTTCTTCAAGTTCAAAAGGCAAATCATAACAAGGCCATGAATCATGATTTTCACTTTCAATTATTTGTCCTTTTATTACTGCTACCAACACAAGAATTGACAAATCCATTGGGCAGGATGCTCCAGGAAAGGTAACATATAAAATATCGTGTATTAATAAGAATTTAGTATATGATAAATGTAAATTAACAATTAATTGAGGAAAGAATTCTTCCAGAATTACTGTTAAAATATCAGGATATAATTTTATAATACCGATATTTTATATGTTACCTTTCCTGGACTCCTGCCCAATGATTTGTCAATTCTTGTGTGGTAGCAAATAAAAGGACAAATAATTGAAAGTGAAAATCATGATCATGCCTTGGTTATATTGCTTTTGAGAGAGAGAAACTTCACCCTGTCAAGTTCCCCTATACACCTGTGGGATAGTGGCACTCTCACTTAGTTTAATCCATCCCACCTCCTTTAACACTGGCTCAACCCAGCTATGGAAGAAAGTAGCTAGTGATGTAGGAGGAGAGCCAACGAGTTACCACACCAAAACACACTTGGGATAAAGAAGAAAATCAAACTTGGAGGTCTATTATCCCGAATGGGGGAATAAAGTGTTATATACTATGTGACTCCATCTGTGCAACATTTTTGAAACAACAAATTTGTAGAAATGGGGAATATGTTAGTGGTTGCCAGGAGATGGAGTTGGGTTAGGCAGCAAGAGACAGGTATGTATGCTAATGAAAGAGAAGCAGGAGGGACCCTTGTGATGATGGAAATGCCCTTATCTTGACTGTAGTGGTGGATACACAAAGCTGTATGGGCAATAAAATTTTATAGAACAAATACACAAAGAAGTACAAATAAAAATGATAAAATTTGAATATTATTTGTGGATTGTTTTGTTGTCAGTATCCTATTTGCACTATTATAATATAGTTTTGCAAAATATTACCATTCAGGGAAACGGGGTGAAGTGTAAGGAAGGAATCTCTGTTATTTCTTATAACTAACTGCATGCGAATCCACAATTATCTCAATAAAAATTACGGTTGAAGATAAGCAAAGTACTTTCTCTGATCATTAACTTTTTAAAGCAACTGATTGGAAACCTACCTTGAAATTGCAACATAATTGGATTCTATTTAAACTCATGGTGCCCAAGAGGACTTCGTGCAATGATGTATCTGCAATATCCTGTATCTGCACTGTCCAATACCGTGACCACTAACACATGTGAACAGTGAGCACCTGAAAGATGCCTGGTGGAACTAAAGAACTGAAACTTTAAATGCATTAATTTTGATTGATTTAAATTTGCATTTAAATGGCCACTGTGGCTACTGGACACCTAGAGACAACTCAGAAATGAAACTTGACCTTATAGTCCTTTCCTCTCTTGTTCTAAATAGTAAGGAAGAAAACTCATTTCCCATCACTGAACTAATTTAAAAATTTCTGAGGCTGGATCCATTTCTTCATTGTCAAATGGGGATAGAGGATACATCCTCATGTGTAATTTTGAATGTAAAATAGGTCGGGGAAGCCCTCTGTCACCTGTACACGGTAGGACCCAGATACAGATAAGACGATGGCCCCACAAGTGTCCAGAGAGGTAACCCTGTGATGAGTTAATGAATGTTTCCCACGTTTTTGGAAAACCTGGCCAAGGACTAGCTGGCAGCTTTGCTTTCATGTACTAAGGGGAGAAATCAGCCTGTCATTTCCTTCCTTATTGTTCCACAACTCTAGTTCCAAAGACTTCAGTTCCAGCCATATTTTTTTAGCACACCAGAAACAAACAAAAGTCCATACAAATGCCACATTTCTTCAAGCACAACTATGCATGGTTGAATAGTTGCAGGAACACAAAGAAAAACCCTTAGAAACCAGGGAACCAGGGATTAGGGGTGAGTTCAGATATAGGCACGTGGGCAACAGAAATGCTTTATCACTGTCAGGCAGCCAGCCAGGGGCACTGATTAGCTATGGTCTTCTGCCTTTGGTTTTGCAAAGCCCTGACACAGGGCTCTGTTGGGCATCCTCTGATCCAGGGAGGTTCAGGGAGGTCCCACAAGCCCCGCCCTAACGGGGCGTGTCCTGCACCTGTGCGCCAGCCCAGGGTTCCTGGTGCTTTTCCTACTTAAGCGCACCTGGCACCCTCCACGCTCGCACACACTCTCCTACGCGCCGGGCTGCTCCAGCACCTCGGCTTGATCCCTTCTCCACGCAAGTGCCCCGCGCGCCCCACTCAGCCATGTCGTCTTGCAGCCGCGTGGCGCTGGTGACCGGCGCCAACAAGGGTATTGGCTTCGCCATCGCGCGGGACCTGTGCCGTCAGTTCTCCGGGGACGTGGTGCTCACGGCGCGGGACGCGGTGCGGGGCCAGGCGGCTGTGCAGCAGCTGCAGGCCGAGGGCCTGAGCCCGCGCTTCCACCAGCTGGACATCGACGACCTGCAGAGCATCCGCGCCCTGCGTGACTTCCTGCGCAAGGAGTACGGGGGCCTGGATGTGCTGGTGAACAACGCGGGCATCGCCTTCAAAAGTAAGGGGTTGGTGTGCTCAGAGGGGAGGTGGCCTCCGGGAGAGCCTCCTGCCGGTGGGAGAATCCCTGGGACCCCCTTGCGCCTGGAGGGACTGAACAGGCTCCCAGGAGCAGAGGGAGGGTGGGGAGCTGCCCAGAGAGCCAGAGTTCTCAGGGAGAGGCAGGGACTGCCAGCCAAAGGGAACTTGGTGATTCCTTGGCTGAGGGACTCCTGGGGATCTTTCCCAGGTTTTCCAACGTTTTGCTGACATTAAACTTTCAGGAAGTTGGATGAAGTTTTAACTGATTTTCAAATAAACAAGAAATTGCAAAAGGATACACTGTGACCCAGTGTATGAACCCTTCATCCACCTTCCCCCAGTGGTATCATCATTCAAAAATACTATATGGAAGGTTATCAAACCGGGGGGTGAAACGGGCACAACACTGTAACTAGAGGCAGACTCTAGTGGTGCAAATCGCAAGGATTCACAGGCACTTTTTTTTTTAATCATTCTATGGAATGTCACCCCATGGCTACTGTCCTTTAACTCTGCTCTCTTCTGCCCTAAAAGATGCTGATACCACACCCTTCCATATTCAAGCAGAAGTGACCATGAAAACAAACTTTTTTGCTACCAGAGATGTCTGCACAGAGTTACTCCCTCTGATAAAACCCCAAGGTGAGTGTGGTGGGAACAGCTCACCCTGTCTGTGCCCCGGACCCGGCCCTGCTGACTCCCCGTGCTGCGGGTGCACCTGCCTCCTTGTTTTGTCTCCAGCCTGCCAGGCACAGTTTTGCTGCAGGACTTTGTCCTCACTTCTCTGGTGGCTCTGGGTGCTCTCTGTCCTGCTGGTCTTTGCTCACCTGGCTCTTCTTATCCTTCAGGTCTCAGCCCAGTGTCTCCTCAGAGAGGCTGTTTATTTGCTCTGTGCCCCTCACACGCTGCAGTGCAGTAGGATGTCACCCTCACCCTTTCTCTGCTCCATCAGACTGATCTTATTCAGGCTGGTGGAGCCTTCACTGCCACCAATCCAGCAGGCCCTTCTAAAATGTGTCACCTGCCTAGAACACTCCCAGAGTGGCCTCCTCCCACTCTATAATAAAACAGACATTTCCAGAGGGTGCTCATCCTTCTCCCTAAATCATCTTGGCCACTGACCCCAGTGTCCACCCACTGGATCCTGCAGGTCACAGGCTCTGCCCCCATATCATCACTGACCAGGGCCTAGCAGTTGTGCCCACGGAGTTTGTCCTGAATCCACCTCATGCCAGCTCTACAACAGGCCCTCAGCTGTCATCCTGGACAATGGCAGATCCTTCTAGGGCCTCTCCTTTCTTGGCTCTTTTCCTTCCCCAGGATCCTGCATGCTGTGTCACTACCCTCCCACAGATCCTTCTAGAACAAAGTCCAAGCCCATAGCATAGTTTATAGGGATGTGCAGAATCTGCCGCTGCCTAGCCCCAGGCTCAGGTTAACTCCCCTTCATCGTGCTCCCTATCATCGGCATGACCGCCATTTGTGTTGCACTGTAAAGTGCTGTAGTGCTCACCCCAAGTAATTGAATGGGAGATGAACCCACCCATAAAATACACAGCAATTGAGACATGTAGCCACTTAAAAAAAAACAAAAAACGTAGATTTAGGGAATAATAGTCGTTTTTATTACATGGCCCATGCAC